GAGTTTAACGGCATGATGAATAAAATCAAATATTCGCAATTAAAATATCTCTGATAAATGCTATCAAATGTGTTGCGAAATTGATGATATATTTATAGCTATGATAATTAATATAAATAATATTGTAATTATAGTCTAAAATATTACAAAATATTTTTTTTGGTTTTGTTATAAATATCATTATTTGAGCATTGTAGTACTTCGTGTGCAATAATAATGTTATTGTATTATGTCAATGACCATTACGGATATTATCGTGTTTAACCCATTGCTAATCATTATATAGCTCTTAGTGAATGTTATATTGACTAGGTTCACAGATTAATCTCAACCGTTTGAAAATAACAAATGCTCGTTCTCGAGAAATCGATTGAATAATACTGAATATATCGGATTATAGTTTTTAGTTACAACACTTTATATTTTGTAGTCAATCAAAACAAATTTCAAAAATATTTTTCCGAAATGACATTATTCTTGAAAAAGCACACTGCAACAGCGCGTGTAAAACACGTTGTTGAACGTTTCATCGACCATTTGAACGAAAATATGACAACGAAATCACGTGCGTTTTTACACAAAAACGATTTTACTTGTTTGTTATTATTATTCCCACCCCGCCGCCGCCGCTCTCGTATATGTAATAATCGTGTGCGTGTGCGTGCGTTAAGTATTGCGGGCCATTAATGGTTTGCTAGTAATCATGTGATAGGACAAAAAATAAAAAGGTCAAGTATGGATAAGATAGACGTCAGCCGACACGGAATGTGAACCCTTTGCCCCTCCTATGGACAATGATGCAGTTGTATAATAACATCGGACAACGACAGCAACATCGGTTCGCGGGGTCCGTTGCTGTGTAACCGGCCCAGAAGATAACTTATTGCTGTTGAGCACCAAGCAGTCTGCCGGTCTCGCTTATCTGACGATATGTGTTTCGAACGTTCTTTGAAGGTCTGCTTCTCTCTCTCTCTCTGTCTCTCGTGTCTTTCTTCTCACCCCCTCCCCCCCCGTCCGCCCTTCACCGTTCCATCATCTTATTATTATTATTTTTTATTTTTATTTCACAATGACCAGTCGCTTGTACGCAATACTATGATATTATTATATTCGTTCCCGATTTTCGTACGTGCACACCCACAAATAGTGCACAACACGAGTCTGAAGTCGAGAGTGTTAGGTACGACTATAATGTCAGCAGAGTCGGTCGATAGGACATGGTGGTCTGCCGGAGTGGGAACGGGTCGCAAGGTGTAACGTAGTGTAGAAGACAATATCCAGTTTTACGATAAGCAACGCGCATAATTCGACCCGTAGTCAATATTGTTAAAACGGTTCGGCCCCGCGGTCATTCGTGATGATCATTTTATGTGTTGCCTCTTTAACAATATTTTTAATATTACATGTGCGTACCTACACTTATCCATATGGAAACAATAATAATAAACGGAAAGCAAAAAAAAAAAAAGAAAAATAATATCGAATAGATACTGTATACTTACATAATAATAAAATACATCTTAGTCAAGGTCCTCCATAAAGGAGAATATATACTACCTTACTGTGTAAATGCGTGCGTGTGTGTTGTCAGTACATTACACGGATGATGTACACACTATACACGTGTGCTTGGCGTGTTACACGATTCGAGCGCGCAACACCGGCTTCACTTTATAGCTTGATATTATGCGATTTGCGACAAATAATAAAAAAATTAAATAACATAAATATCGTCCGAACGTTTTGAGAACAAAAACTTCGGTCTAAGATGGTTGCACTCCGAAAACGTGTGTTACCAGCAACGCGCGCGTTCGGTTACCGCGGCGGTATCGGTTATGTAATATTATTTGTCGTACCTTGGTTGATAATTCTCACTCGTCACCCGGGACTGCACGCGCGGTATCAAATGCCGCTAATGAAAACCTGCGCAATCAAAGAGTTCCTACAGTATGCATACGGCGCTGAACAAGCACATGCCTATAATATAATTCGAATTGATGTTTTGACCGTGACGTTAGATTGGCATATGATCAAATCTAAATCGAATAAGTTGAATAAATTCAAAACGCAGCGACGTGTAGTGATTCGAACACAGCCAAGGTGTATGAAAATATATGCCTGATTACTTTCGAGTAAAATTGGCATATTTCTGGCATTTTGTGGTTGCTTAATGTGTAATATACAGTGAATTCCACTTAATGTGGGCACGTTGGGACCACCTCCGTTTGCCCACATTAAGTGGTTGCCCATAATAACCGAAATTCAAAATATAAAATTCATAATATCAAAAAAAAATTTTTTTTTTTATTTTGAACACGTTCACACAATTGGAAAAAAAATTAAATTACTACATTGTCAACTGTCACCAATAGGTGATTTTTAATAAAAAAAAAAATCATGTTGTTACTTAATAATATCATATATGTTTATTGTGCTACATTGTATAAATTATGTATAGGTTTCTAATTATAAAATATAAATATAAAAATTACTACATAAATAACACTAAATAAAATTACTTTTTGGATGTGGAAGCAGACTCTGATTTACGCAAGTGCAGATAGAGCACTTGCATTTGGCCCCCAATTTCTGGGGACCCCCTGTCTCTGTAAGTTATAGAAAATTGTATTTTTAAATTAATTCCACAAACATTTATTTTGTAAAATGTAATACCAACTGTCAATGTTCAGAGTTCAGTATATTTTTATCATTAAATTATCAGTTGAATTTTAGTTATTTTTATCATTTCACGCCCCAGTTCTAATAAGTTACCATCACAAAATATTAAAATAATAATAGAAAATTTTTTTAACATCGGAAATATTTAATACCTTTTAACTAGAGATCGGAATTTTATGCATTTGCATGTTCATACCGAGTGTATGCACTTATACAAGGATTCGAAATGTGGGCGATTCCGAACCAACTGATTCCATATATCAAATTTAATTTTGCATATAATGGCATATTTGAAGGATTGGGACATATTTTTGTATAAGTGCATATAATGTATATATTTTTTAAAATCATAGTAAATAATCAAATTATTTCATGGTTTTATTTTGGAAATTGAAATTTTCAAATTCTATTAAAACGGTATAGAATTTTATTTTTTCAAGTTCAATAACTATTATCTGACAAATAAATTTTAAGGTTACTTCTTAAAGTTGCGTAAAAATTTAGTATTTATTTATTGGCTACACTGCAAATTTGAAAAGTAATACACTGATTTAAATTCACCATGTTTTACCGTTTCATGTATTAGCAGTGGTTGAATTGGGGGGGGGGACGCAGAGGGTCTGAGCTACTCTTCATTTTTCTTCATATTATAGCGTACCCCTTAATTTAATTCATCAAGGAACGCAGGGGACGCAGCGTCCTTCAACAATTATATGAATATGAATTTGTTTCTAAGAAAAATTAAATAAATATGAAAAAAAATTGGAAACGATTAATATTTTATTTAATTTTTGGTATTAGTTCGTAATCTGTTCATTATTATTAGCACATATGTATATTAGGAACGCAATAATAACATATATAATAATGTTATATAATTTATGTAACACGTTTCAAGTGTTTTCACTGCGTATTAATTCGTGGTATAAGCTGCTAAATTGCTAAAAATATAATTATTACGAAAACTTCCCTGGGTGTACCGATATAACGATCCTTAGTAAACCATTGACAATAATAATATATTGACTCCGTATTTTGAGAATCCGTCCGTTGTTTTAGTTATCGACGATTAACAAATGGTGATCGTTTTCAAGGAAAATTAAATATTATTTATATTTTATTTGGAAACGAGGTGCGCCACGAATGAGTAATCGGTATTATGTTAGCTTGTCGCGTACTCGCGTATATAATTTATAAATTGTAATTTTGTTGAAAATAGTAAACACCTCAACCGCACTCCTACAGTCCTACATGTCACGTCAGCAATAAACAAATAAACATGAATAAACGTCAAAAATTGTCCATATCGGACTTTTTCAATAAAAAGAAAAACAATAACCAAGGTAATTAAAACACTTTAATTTAATAATAAATCATAGACGTGCGCAGATTCCTGTTACCGGTGTACTTTTATTTTTTTTTTGATAATCCACCCTCATAAATCCCGCCTTAAAAAAAAAAAAGTAGAAATAAAATTTATTAGAAAAACTGATGTACAATCTAATTATCAATGAACGTCAGTCCCGGCAATTTTTATTTTTTTGTAATTTGATAAAATTTATAAAAAAAACTTGATTTTCCAAAAAAAGTTATTAGCCCATTTTACTTAAGTACCTAGTACCTACCTAAAAAAAAAGTTAATAAATACAGTTAAAAGTTCCTTAAATTTTTTTGGTCATACATTTTAAAGCAATACATATACATAACTATGATAAAAATAATTATTATTTAACTCTCAGCAAATCTTAGTCCTAAAAATAATGTGACGGGATGAAATAAATTATTTGACTAATATTAAACTTCAAATATTAAAATTAATATTGACAAAAAAAAATTAATATACTAATTAAAGAGTAACATTTATAATCTATAAATTTAATATTTACTTTTTGTAGGCAACATTAAAATACATGAATTATTTTAAATTGAAAGTTAATTGATTAATTAATTTTATCATGTGACTATATATTTACATTTTAGATTTTAAATTTGCTAGACGTGTTGCTGTGTTGATAGAATTAATACAAATAAATACCTATTAGTATTGTTTATTATTTGTTATAGATATCTGTGTTAATCATTAGATATATTTAATTATTTATATTGTAGATGCATTTAGGTGGTGGGGGGGGACAAAGTCCCCCACGGTTTTTTTTAGATTAATTTGCTTTGGAACGCTAATTGTTCAGCTACATTTAGAGTCCACCTTTATTTTTTTTTCCAATTCAACCACTGTGTATTAGTGTAGTAGCATGACAATATTGACAATTTTGTCATGTGTAGTAACTAGTAGTGGTGTACATATTATCACATTTCATTTACGGTTTAGTGAAGTTTTTATTCTTATTTTGCGTAAATTAAAAACAATTTGAAAAAATGTCTAAAATACGAAAAAATATTAAGTGTTTGATAAACCAGTGGATTGAACTATATAATAGAGACACTATTGTATTTACAACTGATGAAAACGTAGTCTATTGTCAGGTATGCAATCACCAAGTACCGTGTAATAAAAAATTTCAAATCACACAACATGTTCATACATTTTTTCATACTGATTCCTTGAAACGAAGTTTAAATAATAAAAAACAAATGCTATTGGGAAATGTTTACAAATCTAATACCAATAATTTTAATGAAGATCTCTGTTTGAGCTTAGTAGCTGCTAACATACCATGGTTTAAACTTCAAGTTCCACAATTTAGAGATTTCTTGCAAAAATACACGAATCAACATATACCAGACGAGAGTTTACTTCGAAAATCTTATCTCGAGCCATGTTATAATAAAATAATAAAAAACATAAGAGAAAAAGTAGGGGATTCGTATATTTTTTTAATTGTAGATGAAACAACAGATATTAATAGTACCTACATAGCTAATCTTTTAATAGGTGCGTTAAGTAGTGAAAACTCTTTCAATCCTTTTTTAATTGCTAGTAAAAAAACTAGAAAAAACAAATTCTACTATTGCACATTTTGTCAATGATGGCTTAAGGATTTTGTGGCCAAGTGGTGGTAATGACGAAAAAGTTTTGCTATTATTATCAGATGCAGCCCCATATATGATAAAGGCAGGTAAAACATTAAATGTATTTTTCCCCAACATGATACATGTTACATGCTTAGCGCACATACTTCAAAGAATTGCTGAAAAAGTGAGAGAATTATTTCCAAATGTTAATACACTGGTAAATAATTTAAAAAAAGTGTTCTTAAAAGCTCCTCATCGTGTAGAAGTCTACAAAGATGTTTTGCCAAATGTAGCCTTACCACCAGAACCTATACTCACTAGGGGGGGTACTTGGATTGAAGCAGCCACCTTTTGTGTTGATAATTTTGAACAGCTAAAAATAATTATTATTGAAAAATTGAAAGAAAAAAATGTGAAGATATGCTTAAGTTAGAGTCTGTTAAAACTGATCTTACATATATTAAAACTAATTTTTTTATACTTGTTAAAAGTATTAAAAAATTAAAGTCATCTAATTTACCTTTGTTTGATGCGACAAAAATTGTTAATGAAATTATTTTAAACATGGAAAAAGTGTCCGGTAATAATGGAAAAATTATTAAAGAGAAAGTTTCTGATTTAATACACAAAAATGGTGGTTTTAAAATATTGAAGCAGATATCAGATGTTTTATCCGGGAAAAAAGAAAGTTTTTTACCCCTAAATTTTACACCCACGATGAGTACTTGTATGAAATATGCACCTATAACATCTGTGAACATTGAACGGTCGTTTAGTACTTACAAAATGATATTAACTGAAAAAAGAACCAACATGACCCCACAAAATATGTAAATGTATATTGTAATTAATTGTTATGAAAACAAAAAATAATAGTTTTTTTATATTTAAATATTTTTTTGATTTAATTTGATGTTGAAAGGTTCAAAATTTCTATTTTATTATTTGTTTAAACTGTTTTAAAAACATATAATGATTTTTTTTTTTATATACTTAAATATTTTGTTGATTTAAGTTGATGTTGAAAGGTCCAACACTCCTAATTTTGTTATATTTGTTATGTTATAAATTTATTGTTTGTAGTTGATAAAGTAATATAAATTTATAATGCATATTTGAGCATATTTTTCATGTATTTGTGCATATTAATGCATATTTTGACCCTTTTGCTTTGCATATTTGCATCATATTTGCCAAATTTTTAGTGCATATAATTCCGGTCTCTACTAATAACTAACTATAGATTTATTCGAGCCCAGTATTTACAGATTTACCCGTCGTTGGTGACGCTATGACCATATAAATTTTTTTTTTATTATCGAAATTTCCCCCTCCCCCTCCCCCTCAAGGTAGATATTTTTACTTAAGGGCTCAAAAAAAATTGTGCACTTGGCCCTAATTTTATTAAATCAAGCCCATTATAGAAGGTGTACAAGACATAATTATTCGTTGTCTAAGCTGCTTAGTGTGAATACATTTTTGATTGCCAGTTTAATTTGAATTGAAGTTTTGTTTTGAAATTTGAAGGTTGTAAAGTGCCTTACGGAAATGACTTCACTTAGTCTAAGATCGCGATTTTTTTCTATTAGAAAGATATATTTTTGAGGCATAGTGTCCCATTGAAATTCACGTTAAAACTGAAATGATTCTTATCGAGTTACAGAACGTGTGCCGTCTATCACTTTACTTATTTCACTTTATTTAGTCAATAAAATCCATTAAAGTTTAAATGGTTATGGTTTTTATTACTTTGGATAATAACAATCACATAGACACAATAAAACTGGATTTTACCAGTAATTTTTAAATGAAGGGTACAGGGAAAACCGGAAGTAGTTCATGTTTTTTTTAATTTTGATTTTATATCTTGATACGATATCTAATTAAGTGTAGTATTGGCATTGTTGAATTCGATTTAGTGAAAAAATTTTTCAGTCAAAAATTATCAAAGGGATAAGATTAAGTATATTGCTGAAGAAGTATAAGATAAAACTTCTTTTTTGCTCCCCTGAACAGTTTACAGAAATGAACTACTACCATTTTCCTCCTGTACCCTTCAAATACATATGTGTTTATGATTAAATAAATATTGCCCATATAAACCGAACCGAGTGCCCATATTATGCGGAATTTTTTTAACCATGTTGGTATACATTGAATTTGGGACCAGACCATTTCGCCCATATTAACCGGTGCCCCCCTCGTTAAACGGAACCCACTGTAACATGTATTTGCGTCCTATACAACCTATTTTTATTATTGTGTACCAGTTATATCTTTAAATTCCAACTGTTATAATGTAAAATATTTTCTGTAGATATTTATTCAAGGAATCACACATGTATATTTTATTATGATACTTTAATTCAATGATCAGCTCGGTAAGTTAATCGATTTTATAAAAATATATCAATAATAAATTCAGTTTTTTACTTTATGAATTATTTACATTAAATGTAGAATAGTTTTGAAGATATTGAAAATATTTATTCAACATATTTTTTTGTGGTCTGCGTTGTATACTATTTATATCTAATAAAGGTATTTCAAAGCAAATTTTGCGTATAATACATCATATACTCAGTGATTACATTTTATTAGTGGTGGTTTAATTGTGTTATTGATTTTTTTAATACACATCACTAATTATATATTTTCTAACTATATAAAATTGTAATTCGTATTTCACTTGCCATCATTTATATTTGTCAACCAGGAGAGAGGTCAAGCTGGTCATTAATAACGTATAACCCTAGCAATACAGAGTAAATTATTAAAGCCGCATAATCAACAGGAACTGGTTTTATGCATTTCTATAACTTGAGTCAGTACATGTGTGATCAGGGCGTCCAAAAAATAAATAAATAAATAAAGAAATAAATAAAAATTAAAACAAAATTACATTAGAACACGCGGTGTGTACTACATTTATTTTTAAGTTTTAATTTCATGCCATATTTGCACTGTCCTTCTCTGCTAAATTCCCGCCATAGAAAACAGCACGCTTGGGGCTTCACTATTGTTCAACGTGCATAACAGATAGGAGAAACACAAAAACTTTAGGTCATCTGCGTCTCATGGATACGTTCGTGAGCCCTCAGGTTATTCAGTTAAAGTAATAGAGCCCCGCTGGGATGTGGCCGAATTGTATTTAAAATAAAAATAACACACCCCCGAGTGAGAATCTGCCAGTAATTAAAACAGGATTACCGTTTTCTGTTCCCTTTATTTCTTTAACACTTCATTTGATTTCTTTATTTTTTTATTGTTACATTTGAGTGCAGGACTAATGTGTCAAATGTCCCGTTACAATTTTTTTTTCAATAGTTAAAATATATTACCAATAACTGTTACAGATTATTTCGGCTGAAATAAAAACAAATAATCTGTATATCCATATTATTTTATTTATTCGATTATTTGAATGATAATAAAATATTTCAGTGCAACTAGTGTACTCGTAAATATTAAACTGCTGGATTTATTTAATAAAATATAAAAATGAATTTTTAACATACTATACATATAAAAACTGGAAAAGTAATTAATTATCGATAATCAGTTTAGTTATTCTGTTAAGTTATAAGTTGATACATTGACAAAATATATTATAATCTAATATAAAGAATAAGGTTTTCCTTCTATAAAATGTCTATATCAGCCACTATTAACCAAATAAACCTCAAATCAAATGCTTATAATTTGTATTAAGTATTAATTAAGGTTAATGGTACACAACGAATATGAAAAGTAAAATTAGATTAGATTGGCATACTTTTGAAAAACTTCATAGAAAGTATACCATCAAGTTCAGTTTTTTAAATTAAAAACACATAAGGCATATATAACGAATAAAAAAGAGTATTTTAAATCAAATAAACATAATAATGAGTAATATTATTAATTCATCAACTTGGTATCAATTTGGTATCATTCTTACCACTTTCCATCAACTCAATAAATATTATTTTATTTATATTTAATACATTTAACTGTCTACAATTATTTCTCATTTCAACTGTACGTCATACACAAGCAGTCAACTGTAATACTTGTAATTTAACAAATCTTGTTGATTGTTAGTATTATCAGATCAGAAAATATATTGAATTTGATCAATCAAAATAACATTTGTGAATAGTAATAACAATAGAAACCAGAAATTTACCGATTATGTGATCGTGATTTTCCTTAGGTGTTCAGTGTACAATTGTATAGTAACATGCTTATTATTATTTTTTCTTAGTCTTATTACATTTGATTTTAGTAATTTATACAGTGTTTATATATATACAGATATAATGTACGTACAAAATAAAATATTGTAAAAGTTTTATCAATAATAAAATAATAATTAAAACTGATATTCATAAAATATACGTTTAGAATAGTAATAACAATTATTTTGCGTATAATTTTGATTAAAAATTATTATAATGGTACTGATTGTTTTAATTTGTGATAATAAATAATATTAATAACCAATATAGATAAGTACATCATAATAATATGTATGCATCACGATATCCAACCACCTATTTTAATCAAATATCTTGTTTTATACATGTATCAAAGATAAATAGGTAACTGCTTTATTTATAAATTATAATTTATAATTTAATATTTGGTATATTTTAATTTTATTTCTTATCACGCTTAAATTAAAACACATTTTTATACTTGAAGCGTACCAATTATTCACTTCATTATATGTATAAATGACACAGTTTCATTATTAGCTTTTATATATGGGTTTATATAATGAAATAAATAATACTGTATCGTATGAAATAATAAAAAAATATTCCCATAAAAAAAACTATATATTAAGTTATTAAGTTATTATTTTCTATCAATTAGTGTCATTACAGTAATTATTAATGTTAACGGTTATAATAGTTAAGGACACTCGAATGTGATATTTTTGTATACTCATATAAAGTAAAAATTATTGATCATGTTCTACTAATTGTAAATCTCACTCACCAATAAGAAAACATTTTAAAATTTCTTAAATATATATATTTCTACTATATATTATAAATTTTAGGCATTGTTTTATTATATTTCATTAATTTCTATGGATATTTAAAGAAACGCCTATATACATTAATTAAAGTACGAGTATTTTAACTATAAATAAATTTATGGATTTTTAAAATCCTACAAAGAAAATAAAATATTTTTATTTTGTAATATCATTATAATGAACTATTAGAAATTATAAAGATATTTTATGTTCTAAAGCGAAAAATGTTACTTAGTTTTGTAATCACAATTTAACCTTATTCTAGTAAAGAATTCCTAAAATATTTCGAAAACGTTATATAACAATTTATTTATGGTCGTATTTTAACAATATTAGTTACATATATTTAATAGTTATATTAAGTATTTAAAATAATAGTTATATTTAAAAATATAAAAATATAATTTATTAATAATAAATGTACCATATAGAAAATTTAAAATCATCGAAAATACGTTAAAAAATGTTTATGTTCTGCAATGGAGTACATAATCTGAAAAAAATATAAGAAGTAATATACTAGTCGTAGTACACACTACTTAACTAATGAACGAATTGTGATAGTCCTGAAGAATAATATTTTGAATTTTATACACATATCGCGTTAAGCGAAATATTTTAATCGGCAAAAATGTCTGGTTAAAAATGTAGGTACCCTGTGTAACTAGTTATTTAAACATTGGAAGAGTGCCTAATTAAAGTCCATAATCATATACCAAAATGTAAATACCGTTATTATAATTTCCGAATTGATTTCAAAAGGTTTAAGAAATCAAGCAATTATACACAAGAAGTGGTCAAAGCC